TAATTAATTAATTAATTAATTTTATTTATATAAAACTAATGTGAATAAAAATAGAGATTAATAAAAAATGCTACAATTATATTAGAAAGGATTTTTAAAAAAAGCCAAAATAAAAAATAAGGGAAAGGAAAAGGAGGAGAAAAGAAGTGAGAAAAGGAAGGAGAGAAAAGGTGAGAAAAAGAGTGAAAAAAGGGAGGGGAAGAGGCTTTTAGTATTGTGCATAATCTAATAACAATACTCGGTATAAACATTTCCTAAAGAACTAAAAGATTACTTAATGATTTTGAAATAATTTACTTTAGAACATACGTTTACGAAAGCTTATTGGACTAAAATAGCTTTTAGAATATCGTTATCTTATAATACTTCCTTCTTGTTACAGAGCACCCTATATACAGCACGTTCTAGAGCTATCGCATTTTCTTTAAACCATAGAGATTCTAAGATTATTTTAAAATGACTTTTTCTTAGCAAGAAAACTTGGAAAGACATAATTACAGCCTGAGAAATTCTAAACGCTGTAGTTTATATTTTGAGTAAACCAAATTAATATGCTAAAAAAGAATTTCAATAAAAATTCCGAAAATACATCAATTATAGAAAAAATTCCAAATCTTAGCTAGGAATAAGTCAACATCTGAGAATCTTTGTTTAATAGAAAATATAATAGTCTTGGGATATATATTCTGCATATACATAGAACTAGATGTAGATAGAGAAGGAGAGAAAAGTACAGTGGCTAACTGGCGATGGCCCAGCAGATCGCCGTGATGGCTTGCGCTATTGTACCTTCCCGCATGTTGCGTCTAACCACCACCGAAGCCCGTGTGCCCACACACACCCGTCCAGGGGACCTTTAACGCATCCACTTATTAACAGTATCGTTCACTGTCACGATGCACTATCACACATTTGTCAATGACGACAACTACATTGGCAACAATGCTATTGAAGTATTCCATTGCAACACACCACGGGAAACGTTGCAAAAAGAGAAATCCGCGTTCCGAAATTTGCTCGACAACGGAATAATTAAGCACGAGACAAAGCACAGATTATCCACCGTTACTTCGAATGACTCATAACAATTAGTTGAAAATAATTATGTGTGATTGTTATTTAAAAATTTAATCAATTATAATAATCAATTATATATAATAATCTTCGTGTTTCTCGCAATGCTCTTCGAGGATGGAGAATCTGGGACAGAAAAGTGGATCAAAAAGAGGAAAAAAAAAATAAAATACTTGTCTTCAATTATATCAATATAAGCAATTATCATGTAATGCTCTTCGGAAAACTTTTTCTAGGACATGTTCAGACGAGTCCACGGCGAAATGTGAATTTCCGAAGTGGTTTGATTCCATTTTTTAAGTCCCATTTGGATCCTTTTAAATATATTTTAACCTGTATATATCAAAATAGTCTTTTGAATTTTCCATACAATTGAAAGAAAAGTAATGGTACCAAACTGTTGATTTATATAATTCTTTATCTGTCATTTGTCTTTATCTATCAGAGTCGTTTTAGTCGTTTTAGAAAAACGAACAAATTTTAAAAAATTTTATGCACACTATTATTCGTTAATGAGCTTACAAAATCGTTTGATTTTGTCAGATGTGTTCATCTTTTATCACGTTTCTTTGTTATTCTCATCAAATATCATGTTGAGTTCTGTCATGTTGGAACGAACTCAAAGACAGGAAAATATAAGATATATATATATATATATATATATATATATATA